ATGCATTAAAACTGTTTAATTGTTGTTTTTAAAACATATTAATTTTTTCCCCATAGTAAGTAAAAATACAAGTATAATACAAGGATTTTTGTATTATACATTGTATAATACAAAACTTCGAAAAAATTTTGTATTATTCCAACCCTAGAAATGAATGTGTATTTTCTTATCTATTGGTGAGTTATATACATTAAAATTACATTAGTATAAAATATCATACAATGAACATGTTTTCAAGTGATGAATCAATTCAAATGATTAGTGAATCAATGGATAAATTAGATATAAGTGAAGAAATCGGTGATTAAAATGCGGCAAAACAATGAATGAAATCAAAACATAATTTTTAAACGTTATAAATAATTTGTATGTAAATTTTGATGCACTTATGTGTGATTTTTACACAAGGGGTACACTTATACAGATAAACCTCCCGATCTCGAACTGGTCGGGACGCAAATGTTTGTTCGAGTTATAGAGGTTTTCGAGTTATAAAAAATTCGAGTCATAGAAATCTTTTGCATATTTAATGAAACAAATTTCGAGTTATAGAATATGATATTTTTATTAACATTTTTATACTGATTAATGTATTCTATTCGACTAAATCTATTCGACTAAATTTTAGTCACTAAAACCTCGAAAAAAATTTAAATTTAAAGTTTACCGTTGATCAGTCACTATGTATGCGGTGTCCCGTCGACCCAAATGCCGATCAAAACTATCCGTAAATTTATTTCCGACAAAAATTTGGTTTATATGTTTAATTTTATGTAGAATTTAATGCTGAGTTCGAATTTGAAATTTAAACCTTTCTATCTCGAATATTTTTTGAGATATTCAAATTTTAATATTTTAAAGTCGAATAACTCGATAACTAAAAGAAATTTTATATTTATAATCAGCGTTAAAATCTATATCAAATCCAGATATGATATTAATAATTTATGTGGCTTTACTTTAACATAGGATAATATTAGCCAAATGTAAAATATTATCCTTTATAATGTTAAACCGATGGAACTAATGTTAAGTCTAGGGTTAATGTTAATCGTGTAACCTTGTTTTTTAAAACACTTAACATGTATCTTCACTATCTATCCATTATAGTATAATGTTATACTAATAATAAATTATTATTAATAATATAATTCAATTAATGGTTAAACAGTAGTCTAACTGTTGCTTGAATTGCAAGACATTCAAAATTAATACATAAAATCAATTATGATTACAACAAAGACCGACCATTTTTGTAACCTTTCATAGCAATCAACACAAATTCGTTAGGAATTAAATATCCAGAAATTCCTTTCAATGCAAACAAAAAGTTTTCTAAAAAATACTTTAAGAAGTTATTTGGTTTGTCTGAATACCAAATCTAGTTTATCAGTGAAAGGGATTCAACAAATTATATTCAATTGTCTTAAATGTTTAGTTCAATCATTAATAATTAACCAATAATTTAATAGTTTATTCAGTGTTTTATTACTGAATACTTCAAACAATTTAGTATTCAATCATTAATTCAATGATTGAATTTCAATATTCAATGAGTTATTCTTATTGTAAGCATTCAATAAAATGTATTCAATTATTAATGGTTTTATTGCCATTCATTGGCTTTGTTTCTCATAAAACGATTGTATTTCTGTTCTCTTATCGAGTCTTCGAATTCAATTTCGATGATATTCTTTTGCTTCCTCTGCGGTATATTATTCCTCAGGGTTTGCCTCCAATCGCCGGTCATTTTGATGTCGTGAAGAATGGCTACCATATGATTGAGACATAAAGACTTGGATCCGCTTTTCCACGAGATATTCTCGTCGAGTGGGAGTCGTGCGGATCGGATGCCCTGTTGGCGAGCGTTGGTGTAAGTGATCGGATCGTTACGATTCTTATCAATCAAACCACCGATTATATAGATATCGTCGTCGCTATACTTTCGGAGCACTTGATCCGAGTGTGGACTCAGATATACTAACTTCTCTTTGGGAAAGACATCCAAATATGACTGTCGATGAAAAGTGGCCATAAAGTGAGGCGTCTTATAGTTGGGAATAAAACGTGACATTTCTTGCATTGTCTGCGAGTTTGGGTCACAATTAGTGAAATGCAAATCAAACGGTTCTGTTGTCTTGTATTTGTTGTAATGATATGTTTGTGACAACTGTTTCAACAATAGTCTCCTTTCGTGTATTTTCATGTATTGATCGAAATTCAAATCAATGATCAGTTTTTGACCAAAAAGTGCGGCTCTTCTTAGTCTGTGGTTCTGTAGCCGAGAAACCGATGATTTCATGATTTTGCTGAACAGTGTGTTATGCCATAAGCCATACAACAACTCATTCTTGTTGTCCCAAATGCCTGTCCTCTGGGCGTCAATACGAGAGTACATCTCATTCTTCTGCTCCCAATATCTGTTGGAAATCTCTTTTCTTTTCAACTGATCCTTCAATCGATGCATTTCTTTCGTATATAAGAATCGATACATTTTGTGTCTCTCGATCGTGTCGTCGATACGGATCAGTTCAGCCATGGCTTGGGATGTGATAGTAATGGGCACTCGAAGTGTTGTGTATTTTTCGTATTCATATTCACTTAAAATTAATTCAATTTTCTCTTTCGTCTCTTCGCTGACCACTAAATGCTTGAATGAATGCAAACTTATGTCTTCAAACTGTCTGTCCATCACATCCCTGTCATTCCTCTCATCACTCAATGTCCCACACAATCGCATCCATGACTTCATATAACTATCTCTTACCACACGTTTTGAGCACAAAATTAGCTGATTTTTAATTAAATTCATTTCACATTTACGTCAAAACTTTGAAAACAACGTTCAAAATATTAATTCACTCAATACTGATGTCTAGTTTGCGTTTATTATAAATAAAAACAATTCATATTTTTATAACGTAAGCCTTATATAGACTTTGATTTAATTATTAAATTGTAATAAATTGTTTGTATAGTGTATGGAAAATATAGTGTAAATTTACACATGTTATACACATGTCATGTGAAGTCACGTGTAGTTTGTTTTGAAAAGTGAGGAATCGGTGCGAAAAGAGGCAAACATTTGATGAAAGTGTTGTGTGAATGCTATAAGAAGTGAATCCATACTGTATTAGTGGTGAGACATGTGTGCGGCCAGAGGTGTGTCCGTTAGGGCTCGCTTTGAGTTGAGCGCTAAGTTGGAGAAGTGGTATCCGAGACATATGAACAGAGGTTTGCCATCATTTGCATTGACATGTATTACATAACCCACTGATTGCTGTCCACGACTACAGGGTATCGGGAAATGATGCAAACCCTCCGCAAAGTCGACTGTATAGTCGAAGTGCACGACTCGAGGATACCGTTGAGCGGTCGCAACACTCACTTCATTCGCTCCCTGTCTTCACTCAAACCACACGTTATTGTTATGAATAAATCAGATTTAATGGACATTAGGTATCAAAACAAGATTAAAGAGCGGTTGGAAAGCGATGACAGTAATAGTCGCTGTATTTTTGTCAACTCTTTGGATCCGAGCGCCAAATCCAATGGCTTTTCTGCCGTAATAACAGTTAAATGAATTATTGTTGAAGTTGTCATTTAAGCCTTGTTTTGTGTGTAGATATTACCATTAACCATTAATTTGGTCCGCAATTCCAATCGATTTAATAGAGAGGACTTTAATGGTTATAATTTAATGATAATCGGAATCCCAAACGTCGGAAAGTCGACAATAATTAATAAATTACGAAATATTAACCTCAAGGCGTCGGGAAAGGCCACTACAGTCGGCGCCATCGCTGGCGTCACCCGAAGTGTGTTGGAAAGGATCAAAATCAATGCCAATCCTCCCGTCTATCTCTACGACACGCCCGGAGTTCTTGAGCCCAAAGTAGACAAAGGACTCGAGGCAACCATGAGATGCGCTCTTTGCGGTCAATACACACTTTTCATTCACTCTTAACATAGTTTTCAACCAATCGTTTGTTCGCCTCTTTATAGGAACCCTTTCGCACCAATTGATCAGTTATGAGATAACCGCCGATTATTTGCTCTATTGGTTAAATCGGCGCAACAATTATGTTTATGTCGACTTCTTAGGACTCGACGGGCCGTCAGATAATATCAAAGAAGTCTTAATCAAAGGATCCGTTTATTTCAATAATTTTATTGATTATAAATCACAAGAAAGCGGTAATTAATTGAATTGAAAATTCATTCTAGAAATTGGTTGCAAATAAACACATTGTGAGCCTTATTAATGTTGACCATCCCTTACCGGTACTACTACTGTGTAAACGAGTGCTCATTTAGTTTGCGGCAAAATAGGCTTTTGAAAATGATTGGATCCGATGTGTCCATCATTTTTACCACTAATCCATACTTTCAAATTGAAAGTACTATTAATGCCGATTAGTTTAAATCATAGACTGTACTATTAATAGCACTGACATAACTATGCATAACATTAACAATAACTGATTGAATGTATTTTGATATGACTTTAGGGGAATTGATTAGAAGACCAGATATGGAAAAGACGGCCAAAGAATTGATAATCGCTTTCCGAAAGGGACTGTTGGGTCGCGTCGTCTTAGACGACGACCTCTTTTCATAGATTATCATAATTTGTAAATCAATAATAAACTCATATTTACTGCAAAACAGCATTTATTCAAAAGAGTCCGCAATTCATTAAATCAATACTTTATAACATAAACCGTTTAGTAGAGTCGCTGCGGCGGACCCATCGTTGACTTGATGTGAAGCGAACGGATGTTCTGCCAATTCTTCTTCAGCAGAGATACCAAGAAATTGATGGTTAAGTTGATGTTCTGCGCCAACTCTTCGGGAGCCATATCCACGTGACCGACGGCGACCGCCAGACACAGCACTTTCTTCATCTGCAACTTAATAGTGGCCTTCACTTCGTCCACTTTGGCCATCATATTCTCGTTATGGGTCAGAAGACTCGGGAACTTTCCGGCCTTATTCAGTCCGGGACCCAACAGACGCGGGATCTGTTTGATCAGCGATTCCGACGCCAGGAAAGCGTCGTAACTCTTCGCCAACTTCTTAACCAACTTCTTATTCTTATTCAACTTCTTGAGGGCCTCGGCGTCCATGAATGGGAGGCTATTGGCGTTCGCCTCATCGCAGTGCTGCTGATCTCCCAACACACAGATCCTGAACTTCGGGCGCGGAATGTGTCTCAACTTAACGGTTCCCGAGAAACGCTTGTCCTTCTGGGGGTCGTAGTTCTTGAGCGCGATCTGGAGTTCGACGGTCTCCAAGAACTTCCTCTTCTTGCCGTCGTTGTCACCTTTGGTCGTCTCCAGCATTCCGTTCACACACTCGTAAAGAGTGTCTTTCGTCACCTTCGAGGACATTATCGCTCACTAAATGACACACAAATCGGTGGACAAGTGTTTAAAACTAATTGTAAATACTTTTGGTGGCGAAGCGATGGCTAAACGCAGAGATAATTGGGGTTTACTTACGTGTGAATCAAATTCAGATGAAATGCTTTTCACACATCCGTTCAAATGGACGACAACTCGGTTTCCGATTCACCACATGTTCACTCTTTTCGCACTTACTTATCACTGCTATCTGTGCTCACAATTATCAGTACCTTTACATATATATTATACTCATATTTCATATTGAAGTACTTATAAAATAGTACCAAATCTACGGCTATGTGTTACGAGATATAAAAATAATGCTTATTGTGTATAACAATTGGCACAATAGATGGCAATGCATTCAAATCTATACAAGTTTTTAAAAAATTTAAAGTTTTGGTAACTTTTTCGATAATTAGTCATAGATTTGACATTTAATTGTCTTCATTTCACTTTAATTTTATTGTTACTTATTTTAGTATTTGTTTTAATTTAATATTACTTTTATTTCTTTTCTATTTTTAATTTTTTTATTGATTTAATAAAAATTTTAATCGTAAACGGATTCTCTTAAACAACAGCATCAGGTATGACATCAATCTCTTCACATTTAATGGTTATCAATGTTTTATGAATGAATGGCAGGACTGGAAATGAACACAAATCACATTCAATTATACGATATCAGCTCCACAGTATAAACAGAGCAAACAATTAATCGATAGACACCCAAATGATTAACCAATAGTTTCAACAATATGTTGTTCAATGAGTTATCAAACCTTTGGCAACCAATTTAAGGCATTTCAGAAAACCACTGAACAGCTCATTACAGCCAACACTCAATTACATAATGAGATGATTGGAAAAAGATGTTACGAATGCGTCAACAATATGAGGACAAACTTCTTCAGCTCCAGAACAAGATATGCGAAGGAAAATACAGTAAAATCGGTTTATTATACCCATGAGATCCAATTCTGCTTTTTCTGAAGTGTCGATATCGACAAACCGTCTAACCTATAGATCTCAGGTCTAGTCTTTAATCAAAACCTAAATCTATTTTCAATTGTTATATACTGTTTCATATAATGAGTGCTTTTATTTAGTTTTATTTTACAAAATTTGATACATTTATTCATAAATATGCTAAAAATGTTATTTTATTATTAAAATTATTAATATTTGAGAGAATGATTGCGATATAAATGACGAAAAATCAATCGATTGGTGACAATGAAGTCAGTCATCGTCACTGTCTTCGACGACAGCCTTTTTGCGTTCTTTCTTCTCATTGCGAAAGTCGAGGTCTGAGTCGTCGTCGTCTTCGATGTCTTCCTTCTCGGCTTTGGACTCGTCTGCGGAGACGTCTCCGTCGTCAGCGTATTTAGAATACGAACCCCTTTTGAAGCGATCCTTAATCCTAGCGATGGAAATGCCCTCTTCGTCGTCGTCTTCGTCGCCGTCCGGTTCCAAATAGGAAGCGGTCGGACCCCTAATGAGTGAGCGCTCGCGAGCTCTTCTCTGTTTGTTTTCGCGCCGAATGGATGCCTTGAGGCGGTCCTCTTCCTTCTTAATCATCTCCGATCGACGCGCCTCCGGATCTTTGCCCACATTCGGCAGAACTCGTATTTTCTGTGTCTTCTGACTTCTGTCCGCCAAAGAAAGCGTCAGTTTTCTATGCGTAAAGCTTTCGGTCGAATACGGCCTAAATGTGAGTTTAGTTCTGAACACAGTCTGGCCCTGAAGTCCAGTTCCCTGTCTTATAAACAGGTGGTTGTTATCGCCGGCCATAAGGTTGAGTCGATGGATATCGAAAATCTCTTCTCCCAAATACAAAGAATATGTGCCGTCAGACCAGCGGACGACTCGTGAGTTGCTTTGCTTCTTGAGTTCGTTAGTCTCTCTGTCGACGACATTCCGCCACCGAATGGTGTTCTCGACCTTCAGCTTGAGTCGAGCCCTGCCCTCGTCGTCGAGGTTCTCGTCCTCATCGATCTCGTCTTCATACCATTGCGGGTCATAAGGATGTGTATCAATGCTCAAGAAGTTGGGAAGTTTCACGAAATGCACTTCAGAGCCCAAGTCGGCCACAATTCGGGGGATCTCCACATCAATGCGCGTTTCGGGCACCGGTTCCGGCTCTTCGGGCGCCTCCTCTTCTTCGTCGCCCACTCTTTCGATGTCCATCTGTTCCTCGTCCTCAACGAACGCCTCGCCCGGAGTTTTTGGCATTTGGTCTGCGGTTACGTCAAAAGCAATCAATGGTTAACCCGATTGTCATTTCACACAACAACTCATATCTATACCAATCCCTTCGTTGGATTCATCGCCCGATTCGATGATAGGCTTCGACTTCTCGGCGCTCTTCTTCACAATCAACTCATCATTTGATCCGTCATTTGAGTCTTCATTCATCTTATCAATTGGTTTGTCGTTTTGTTCATCATTTGATCCATCATTTGATGCATCGTTTGAACCATCATTTGAGGCATCATTTGGTGCACCAATGGGTTCATCGTTGGCCTCTTCAGCGCTGTGTTCATCCGGTTCTTCACGCGTCACCTCATCATTGGTTCCTTTGTTCGCCTCTTCATTGTTGGACTCGTCGTCGGAGTCATCGTTGGACTCGACATCACTTCCAAACATTTCTGCGAAGTCTGCCATCGTTTGTGTCTTCAAATCACAATTCAATCACAATTTTATCAAATTTTATTAATTTTGTATTTATTTTCTCAAAACAATAAAATCCATACAAAATGTTAACAATTATGACATTATTTATGAATAAAATGTAATGCTTTTCACGCATTGAATTGAAAGTGCATTTAGTGTTAAGTCTGTCCCACAGATAGCCATAGATTTCCCCACTTTTAATACCAATTTTCAAATTAACGATACATTTAATCATTAGTTTTAACATCAGTTTAGATATGTTTTCACTTTTCAGCAGTTTTTGGGCCCAAATCTCAGCATATATTCAAATATTGACTGCAATTAATTGATTATATCATAAGAAATAGACCAATGAGTAGAGGGAAGACTGGAATATGAATGATGGTATAAATGTGAATATAATAAGGTAGCATTCATACAATCCGGCATGGTCTAGTGGTTAGGATAGCTGGCTCTCACCCAGCAGGCCCGGGTTCGATTCCCGGTGTCGGAACACTTTTTGCCACTTTACCATATTCTTCGTATTATAGCATTTGTATTATTATGTGATAATTATTTCATTATATCATTTGAAACCACTTTAAACCCACTTTTTATAATTGATAGCATTTTTTGTTACTTTTTTCTATTCCCACAATTCTCTCGTAATTAAAAGATTAATTAGAAATACAACAAAAAAATTAAGAGGAAATTGAATTTTGTTTAAAATTTATTAATTTAACGCTCGATAAGAGATTTTTAATCTCGTATTCAATGATAATGTATTAACATTTAGTGAAATTGGGTGTGATTTATAAAAATATTAATAAATCAATTGTTAGAAAGTTTTACAAAATAAAGAAAAAGTTTACAATAATTCAGAAAATTTTATATTCACTGCTCTTATGAACCATTTATATAAAAATAAATCAAAAAACATTTTGAGATGCCGTCAAAAATATGGAAAGTCTTTGGTCTCGAAGTGAAAACAATATAAGTTATATAACCTATCAATGAATTAATGCTTTACTATATGATATACAGTATATCTTTTCATACATGTATATAAATAATTAAATTTTTCATTTCTATAATCAATAAGTTTTATTTATTTTTGTTGAATATCTGTATAAATAGTGTCGAGAATTGAAGTGTTTTTGAGGAATAGAAATGTGTGGAGAAATACATTGACTTCAAGTCATATACAAGTCATTTGTCTTTGAGTTCTATTTTTACGAATTGAACGAAAAATAATGATTTGTTAAAACATTTGTTGGAAAATGAAAGTTGTTTTCGAGAGTTGTATCAAAGCTTGAATTCCATCCCCTATTGAATACATTGGCGTTCATCTCATCTCCAGAACCAGAGGTGTGTTTCCAACCATTTATTGAGTCGAAAAAATGTTTGAAATATTTTTGAGGCCATTCTATTCGACTAACAGATTGGGGGGTTCTCTATGGCTATGAGCCATAGCATGGCATAGCTCTGCACAGCTATGGCACCGGCACCTCATCTCACAAACACATCCAACATATCCATACATACATACATTCACTCCACCACTAACTCAGGGGGAGAGAGAG